CTTTTAATAAAAAGGAGCATTCACTTAAGAAAAATTCAAGAAGATTTTGGCAGGGTAGAAGATAAAATCCATGTGGAACCTTCTGTAGTTTATAGCGTAAGCTGTTAAATTAAAGTTTGCAATGTTGTAGATAGCTTTAGAAAAATCATGTTAATAGCGCAGGAAGCCTGAACTTTAAAATATTGGATTAAACAAGAAAAATCAGTGTAGTTCCAAAGTCTAGATTATACATATGGTCAGTAAATAAATTCTTCTTTTTAGAAAAAAGGTATAATAGTTTTACGAGTAACCCTAATAGGTTTTCAAAGAACTTTGAGCCAGGATACAGTTTTTGGCAGGTTCAAGTTTACCTTAAAAGGCTTGAGTAAGCTTGTTCACAATAGCAATCACAGAAAGCTCCCAAATTTCCAGAAATCCCCCAAATTTCCAGAAATCCCAGTTATACTCCACTCTTGGGACTAATCTGAAGTGGTTGGAAAAAGAACGATGTGAGCTATGAAGCCCAATAAGTATAAGCTACAGTTTAGAGCCATGGTAGAACTCTTAACCAATTTAAGAAGATCATTCGGTTAATCCATCATAAGCTTGTAGTTATAACAGAATACAAAACAGTAGGTTTAGCTGAATCAACCTGTCGTCAGTAATTGAAAAAACATCAAGCAGGGACTTATCAATAAAGCTATTAGCAAACAAGCACATTCATTTCATGCTTCAATACTTAATCTCAGCAAGTATGTCTACAACCTTAACCTTGATGAAAGAAAAGTATTCTAGGGATATGTGCTCAATACAAATGCAATGTCATGGGGTCAACTAATCAATATATGGTACACTCACATTCTGCCAGAACTTGTCATGGCATACCCAACTGTGCATTGGTCAATAACAATAACCATGGCTGCTCACTTAAACAGGGAAACAGGGAAACAGGTGAGAATGAAAATGGGAATGATGTTTCCAGCATTCCTTCTGAAGGGAAATTAAATATCCAAGATATAAATGCTGCTGAAAACTATAGTGACAGTGCTGGGGCAAATCTTCTTCTGCGTTTTGATAACATAGTGTGGTCAGCCTCCAGTGCCACAAATTCTGTCACCAGGAGCTTAGAGGATGCATCCCAGTTGAGCAGTAAAATCAGTTCATTGCTGACAGGGGACAACAAAGAATTGGACCAGATGTCAAAGACTGGATCAGGAACAGAATTTTCATCAGAAAAAGTAAAGGACCTGCTGCTTCAGAAGCATCTGAAAGAGAAGTTGCGTGTATGGATCTTACAGAAGGCTGCTGAAGGTAGTAATGCCCCTAGCATATTGGATGAGGGTGGACAATGTGTTCTACATTTGGCAGCTGCACTTGGCTATGATTGGGCTTTGAAGC